AAAGTTAAAAGTTCAGTTGAATATTTAGAAATACAGAATATGCATGTGAGAAAGAAGGCAGAACTCTTTACAATGATAGAAATTTGGGGACTGAGAACAAAAATTTCACTGGGGATAGAGTTATTATTTGGAAGAGCAATGTGTTCAATCTGTCCCTCCTTGCTACACTTCTGAAAATGTGCACATTTGTCTTATGCCCATGTGGGTGGTGGAGAGAACATTACTGAGTTTTTGCCCTTGGCCAGCATTATTTAGTAACCACCATTTGTCGTGCACATTAAGTGTCCTTGCTCCAAAAGATTACATGAGATCATAGGAAATTTATGGATTAATATTATCATCAAACAGATTGTGTAGTGTTCCCCACCCCCACTCCAATTTTCTACATAGCAATCTTACATATTTTCCAGTTTTTTATAATGAAAAACTCATTAGTGTGAAAAAGACCATAATTTATTCTGTATGCTTCAGAAGAAAAGCATAAATATTCTGTATGCACACATTTTTTCAGCATGTTTCTAGATGAGGGATAACCTCTGCATGTTGAGATCAAAGGGTATCTTTTGCAGAAATATAAAGAATATTGGCAAAAGTTTTGCATTTTCAACAAGAGAGACTGTATCAATATGTATTGTCAAAGGCTTTAATGGCCAGAATTACTAGGTTGTTGTAAGTTATTCAGGCTGTATGGCCATGTTCCAGAACATGAAAAACTTACAACAACCCACTGTATCAATATGCTTTCTGAGAATTCATCCATTTCAGGAGAGCTTTTGCCCCTAGAATGAGAAGAAGTAAAGAAATACTTCCCACCCCCCTGAGATTTACATACGGTGTGCAAAAATATCTCTCTAATGTGTTTTCACTTTATGAAGCAAAGAATGAACACAGGAAGAGTACAAGGGATGTTTGATTTGCCAAAAAGAGTCAGACAACCAATTCCATGTTTCCCATGTTCATAGAAGGCAGCAGCTCATAATTTAATCATACCAACTGCACAGTTTGTGCAATGTTTATAATTGGTACAAAACACTTTGCTTCACTTTATGAAGCAAAGAATGAACACAGGAAGAGTACAAGGGATGTCTGATTTGCCAAAAAGAGTCAGACAACCCGTTTTTATAATTGCTACAAAACATAGTTCTTGCCAATGTGAAATTTTTCCTGAGGCCAACAGAATTGTCTTGCAGGCAAGGAGAAGATGTGTGGTTTCTCATGGGTGTGTATAAGAAGTGAGAATTTACATCCCTAATCCTTTTCATCTATTCTTGTTAAGCATAAATGCCTCACAACTGTGATAATAAGAAGAAAGTTGTGTTTTGTTGTCTCATTAAGAAGCAAGATCATAGTAAAACATGCTAACTATTGTCTTTGGGAAAGCACTTGTAGCTTTTGGCGTAAGCTGTGAGGAACATTTGGGGGCTCCTCAGAGGTGAAAACAATCCTGGGTCTATTTAAGTAACAATGTATTTTTCTTTAAGTTCAGAAGGTGCTTTGAATTCCAGGGTGTTATGATAATTAGTTAGTTGAGGTCTATTGCTATTTTTGTACGCAAAAGTTATTGCTTTCTATTTTGACATGCTAAAACAGGCCTTGGAAACATCCCCAGATAAAGAAGGCACATATGCCCCATGTATTACATGACCAAATGAGTTCCAGGATGAGGCTTAACAGATAGTCATGTAGGACAAAGTACTATGAAGCTCTTTTAAGAAAATTCAAACTCCTTTCTTCCCTCACCTTCCAAATTGCTTCATCCCTCTTGATAGAACTTTATGGTATCTTTTCCTACTTCAAGATCTGATTACCTATAAAGTTACAGTATCTCTGTTTCAAATCCAGCTTACATGATGCCAAGCCCAACAACACAATACAATAAATAAAATCAAACACACACAATAACATGATAAATTTCATAAAACATAAAAATACAGCAAACAATATAAAATTAAAATCAATCATAACACAGTGATTGTGACAGTGACAGTGAGTGGGCCGCTTGTACAGAATAAAATACCAAAGCTAAGAAACTAAAAACTAAAAACATAGGGTGAGATAGGGATGGAGCAGATTATTTGTGAAGGAGATACTCTTCGAACGTGAGGTCAAAAAATGTCTTTGTACAGGAGAGGAGGAGATATACTCTAAGGACAAATGTTGAGGGGTAGCAGCAATATCAGATTATATGATTAATCACCAAAAGCGCAATGAAAGAGCCAGGTTTTGAGATTCTTCTTAAAGCTTTCTAAGGTTCACCTAATCTCATCAGGCAGTGTATTCCAAAGTCGAGGGGCTACTGAGGAGAAAGCTCTCTCCCTTGTTCCCACAAGGTGGGCCTGAGATAACGGCAAAGGCGAGAGGAGGGCCTCCCCTGAAGATCGAAGGAATCGGGCAGGTTCATGGAGGGAGATATGGTCACAAAGGTAGGCAGATCCCAAACCGTTTAGGGCGTTATAGGTGATGACCTGAACCTTGAATTGGGACCGGAAAATGAACAGCAGCCAGTGGAGCTCCTTAAACAGGGGGGTTGTATGCTCCCTGTAATTCGCCCCCATTATTAATCTGGTCGCCGAGTGTTGGACAAGCTGTAGTTTCCAGGCTGTCTTCATGGGAAGCCCCACGTAGAGTGCATTGCAGTAATCCAGTCTAGGGCATGGACCACCATGGTCAAGTCAGACTTCACAAGGTATGGTTGCAGTTGTCGCACAAAAGCTTGTTTAAATAGCCACGTCTTCAAGTCCCTATGAAAGGAGGACATTCTGCCTGATCTCCCTGGAGGCATTCCAAAGCTGCGGGGCCACCACTGAGAAGGCCCTCTCCCGCGTCCCAACCAACCACAATTGTGTCAGTGGCAGGACCGAGAGAAGGGCCTCCCCAGCAGAACTTAGAGCCCTCACCAGTTTCTAGGGGGGAGATGTGGTCACAAAGATAGGCAGTACCCGAGCCATTACCTCTTAAGTTTATAACTGGCCAAAATACTTTTGTACCCCAAAAGAATGTGGGAGACTTTTTTGGGGCTTTAAAAAAGTATAGGTCTATACTTTTTCTGTAGAGGCTGTATGTTGTCTGCAAACTTCACCTTCCCCACTCTTGTGATTAATGAAAGAATGGCATTCTTTATCACAATTACTGTCTGATAGACCTTAATTGTAGTTTGCTTTGTATTAATAATTGTAGGATTGTTATAAATAAAAACAACAATAAAAATCCCATATCAAGTAATCAGTGCAATTATTATTTAGATGAAAACTGGTGAGATTTAGTTTCCTGTTTGTCCTGCCATCTACTTCAAGGAAGCTGCTATCATATTTTATTGTTTAAAGCTGAAGAGGTACATGCTAGCACACATTTGATTATTCAGTGAAAGGGCAGAAGATCACGATCTATGTTGCTTTCTTGGAGATGGGAAATGGTATGACTGCTCCAGGTCAGGATTGGTAGGAGCAGTTTTGCTAAAATATCTCTCCTGTCTTCCTACCTCAAACTAATATGTCAAACTGAATCACAAATTATTACTACCTCAAATTAAAGTCATACTTTACTTCTACAGTACATCAAGCCAAACCTATATAATGATTCAAGGCATTTGCTGCATATCTCTTTGTGCTTGCAATTCCCTAACCACTGGTTTCCATAAATGGCATTATGTCATTTATTGAGACCATGCATTTGATATTCATATATGCTCCATGTGGTATAACCCAATGAACCTTCAGATCAGTAATCTAAACACAAAGTTTCTCTGCTATGTTGTTTGGAAATCAAGGATATGTATCAGCACTTGTTAAATTTTGTGCAGAGACACTTGCCAAGACAAGGCAAAATTGAGACTCCCCAGGTACATCTAAAGGAAAGCAAAAATGGGTCAGTCATGTTCCATTACCTGGATGATCCTTCTTTAAAAAGAGCAAAACCAAATGAATGTTTCACCATAAAGACCTCAAGGAAAGGAGGCCAACATCTGCAACAGGAGCAGCCCAGGAGTTCCTACTCGCATTTCTCCAGAGTTAACATTCAGTATAAATGGAAAGGTACACAGAGCTTCCTGTGTTATCTTGATTAGCATGTCAACACACACACAAACTCAACCAGTAGGTCTTCCAATTTTATGAAGGTTAGTTGTGCAAGACTGCCTGTAAAAGTGGGGGGGGGGGGGACACAATTTTAAAAGCTTTTTTAACCTGTTAGAACACTTCTCTAGGAACCTCTAGGTCTTCCAGGGTGACTTTATGGTAAATTTTCACTGGAAGTTGATCATACTTAAAGATGTTTCATTTCCAGGAACCTCTAAGTCAGTGGTCCTCAACCTGTGAGTCCCCAGATGTTTTGACTTTCAACTCGCAGAAATCCTAACAGCTGGTAAATTGGCTGGGATTTCTGGGAGTTGTAGGCCAAAACACCTGGGGATCCACAGGGTGAGAACCACTGCTCTAAGTTCTTCAGCATGATTCTATGATAAACTTTTGTCAAAACTTGACCATAGAATTGCACTGTGGTATCTAGAAATTCTTCAAGAAAACCTATTATTCAAATCTGAAAATAATACAATTCACAAAAGTTAAACTCATAAGTGTTGATAGATGACTTTATATATCTAGGATAGCTTGCATATTATTGGGAAGTTATTTATGTCATACGGTACCTAATTACCATAGCTGAAAATGCCCTGATAAAAAACAACTATTTTTTCTTGATCTAATAAATGGAATCACCATGAACAAAGTCAAAGGAACAATCAAATTTCTCAAACTAGCATTTTTCAAGTAAGTGGAATAAAGAGCAAAATAAATAGTGCTATTATTCCTCCTACTCAACAAAGATACTCTGTTCTCCATATGTAGAGGGCCACTTGTAGCATTTAAGAACTGAGAGGCTTAATAGGATTCCTTTTTGCAGCAATTACAGCTACCTTTTCGTCATATTTGCTATTACTCGTGGAATGCTAAGTAGCCCTATAAATGGTTGATAAATTGTTGTTTCTTTTTTCTTTTTCATTTCAGAGATCCATAGAGACCCAGGAAAAGATTATTGAAGAATGAAGGACGAATGAGGCTACCTTCACTGCTGAAAACTAGTTTGCTTTAAGGTGAAGAAAGAAATCATCGGTTTAGGCTTTTTGTTGAACCGTCACAATGAGAACTTATCATTTTTTCTGGATCCTCTTCTGGGTCAGTCATCCCTACCAAGGTTCTTCCACGCCGCTATCCAAAAGAACTAGTGGGTTTCCAGAAAACACAAAGGTTTTGGATTTATCTAGAAATAACAGAAACGTGTTTAATCGTGCCAAAAGAAGCTGGATGTGGAATCAGTTCTTTCTTTTAGAGGAGTACACAGGCTCAGACTACCAATATGTTGGCAAGGTAGGACATTTTTCAGCACCTCCTATTCTAGAGTTTTTACATTTCTCTCCACCTAAGAGACAAGTCAAAACAGCATGCAGTTCTATCATTTTGAAAATGCTGCTTCTTATAAAAAATCTCCTGATAAATAATTGCAGAGTGTAGATGAGTGAACAATTCGGGGGGGGGGGGGGAGCAGGAAAAGGTGGTCTGATTTGCATGACAACAACCATCCATATTTAGGTTAAAACCTGCACTTACAACTTTCTTGTACAATCATTTAGCTGCCCTGAGATATCTATGCTGCTGACTGTTCTTTAGAAACGAACACTGATGTTTCCATTAGTTCACACACTCCAAATGAGCCAGTGTATTATTTTTATGTTTGTTCATATTAATAGTGATATTAGAGTCATTAAATTAGAACCAGAAAATGCTACTATATACTTAAACTGGAGCCCCAGTGGTGCAGTAGGTTAAACTGCTGAACTTCTGAACTTGGTGATCGAAAGATTAGCAGTTGGAATCTGGGGAGTGGGATTACCTCCCTCTGTTAACCTCAGCTTCTGCCAACCTAGCACTTCAAAAACATGGAAATGTGAGTAGATCAACTGGTACCACTCTGGCGGGAAGTTAACGGCATTTCATGCAGTCATGCCAGCCACATTACCTTGGAAAACCTTTACCTTTACCTTATAGTTAAACTAGATCAACATGTGCCCACTTATTCTTGGTTAAGTTGTTCCAGAACTGCCCCGATGCAACCCCGGGGTGTCCCTGGACCTTTTTTTTTGTGATCAAGTGAGCAATTGAGCCAAGAGTGCATGGAGGCTGCCAAAACAATATTACAAGCCATAAGTAACTGTCTTGAGGAGGCTTGCTGGCATTTTATGGTAACATGGTGGGGTGCCCTGGTGTTACCTGCAAGCTGCCATAGGGAAATGCATGTGGCAGGAGGCACAGTGGTGGGTCTGTTGGACCTGTAGAGAATGGATTGGGCCATATCCAACCTGATCCAGCTCTTCATAACTCCAAAACACCAGAAAACCCCACTTTATCTTACTTAATGGCTTCATGCAGAACTTTTGTTGTGAATCTGACTTACATCATGTAGACTCCCCATAGCAGTTGAAAGGCAAGTCCACATTACTTGCCCTGTGGAGACATAGTCTCAATACTAAAACAGTGTAGATTTAAGGATGATTGTGTATTTGATATTAGTTGGAGATACCAAAGCTCTTAAGAGGTTGTCCTTTGATTCCTCTGGTTGTATGTTAAGAGAAGCTATCCATACTCTCCAATGTTTTAGTGATGAAAACCGTGAACCATGAGATATTAGTAAAGGAGAACAGACAAGATAGGAGATACTACTGCAGTTTGATTTTGCCTGAGCCTTCTGTGAATGGCAATATTCTACCTCTCCTCACTCCTGATTTAATTCAGTACAGAGGGATAACAAAGGTTCAATTGGGATTGTTCTGTCAAATTAGGGCAGTTGGGGAGTATCACTATAGTACTGTTGAGAAGACTTGCCATTATTAAAATCCTGTACTGTTGATATTATGCATGGCTAAAACCCCCCCCCCCCCCCCGCCGCCGCCGCCCTTTGTTAGAGAAATCCTCTCATCTAAAAATGTAAGAGTCTGAAAAGAACAGTGAAATGGATATCTCTGTAGTTGCCTCCTCATGTACTGCATTCACATTAAGAGAGCACGAATCACTTGCAAGCAACCATATAGACAGTCTTTAGAAAAATTAGTTCCTTTTTCATGTATAGCATGAATGATTAAAATGAGCTTTGCTGTTCAATTATTGCTGTGATTTAACTCATTTTACCAATTATTACTGTTGGAGAGCCTCAGTAAAATACTTCTCCAAGAAGGTACGATAGAAGTCTGGAGATTATATGTTTTTAATGGTTTTTAATATGGTTTTTATAGTGCTGTATTGAATGGTTTTAATTGTATCTTTTATGAATGTGTGGCATCGAATTCTTGTCAATCTGTAACCCGTCTTGAGTCACCTTAGGACTGAGAAAGGTGGGCTAGAAATGCCCTAAATAAATAACTAACTAAATAAATAAATATTTAAAAGAAATATTTGACTTTCAGGGTAACCCTATTTCTATTTTGTATGTAATTATGTATGTACTTCATTAATTAATATCCTGCTTTTCAAAAAACTTGTGGACTGCACAAACACTCTCTTAAGTCTCTTAATTTCTCAATGTCTGCTTCTCCTTCTTTATCTTTCTCTCCCTGTCTGTCTCTTTCTCTCTTGTTCTCTTTTGGCTCTGTAAGAATGTTTAACTGCTATTGTTATTGTTGGTTTATAATTATTCTAAATTTTATGTTCCATATTATTTTACACTATTATGTTATCACATCTACCCAATGTTTATTCTGATCTTGACTACATATGAAGGAGCTTTGTGCTGAAATCAGTGGGTTGGTGATTTGTAAAATGCAGAGTTTGAAACCACATGTATCCATTTTCTCTTGGAAGGAAGGAATTTCCCTACCAGGCATGCAATTCCCCTACCAGGCATGCAACATATAGCCCACACAAAGCCTTTAGACCTCACATTTTTTTCAGGCTTGAGATACATCTTATATATATTTTTAATTGCTTGAAAAGGAGGAGTAACAATTCTCAACTAAAGCAAGATGCACGAGATTAGTGATGTGAAAGGCACTTCCACTTTTGAAAAACAAAACACCTCTTCTTTTTTTTTAGTGAGGGTATAACATTCAGGAAGACCAGAACAAGAGGCAACATTGCCTTTTGAACCCTGCCCACTTTATGGCCAACTTGTAATACTCCATTGGCACTAAATATGCAAAATTTCCAGAATTTTTTAAAATTTGGGGAAAAATTGCCTTCTTGTTCAATTATAGTACTAAAACCTTTTACATAATGCAAATCTTCTTTATTTACTTTAGGAAAATAGTGTCTATAGCTTTGCTTGCCACAAAATGCTTATGATTGGACTTATCTAACTTAGCCAACAATTACAAATTGGCATTCTGTTTATTCATTTATTTTTTTTATTATGCTAGGAATAGAACTACAAAGTTTTAAACTGTAAAGAACTGCTTTGGTTTTGCTAATTTATTAAGAGCAGAAGAAAAAATTAAATGGAAGACTTTCTCAACATGAGTAATTATTTTGTCTGCCTTGGAAATTATTTTGTCTACCATGGTACTCTATCATGTCAAAGAGATATAAAGCATTCATTTCCTTGAAAAGAATTGAAAAAAACAATGAAGACCAAGAATTTTAATGAGATTATATTTTACACTCTCTTATTTTAGTTTTCCTGTTATATAGGTATTAGAAATAATTTTGAGGGATAATGTACATGGACATGTCTAAAACATTTATTCATTGTTCTAAAAGAAAATATTAAATAATTACTTTGGGGTTTTTTTCCAATTTTTTCAGTTTTTATGGGAGGAAAGGAACTTTGGAAGAGACTGAGTGTTTCTTTTGTCTAAATTCTTTCCATTTTTTTCTGAGAGTAAAAAATTGTAGAAATAATATTTGCATAAAACTAAAATGGTGAGCTTTTCCTGTGCTAGGATGATGTGAACTGCAGCAGATCAATGAGCTTTGACTCTTTGGATGAAGTTGACATAAACCCTTAATTGCACCTAAGTGTCTTCATTCAATGATTAGTTATGGGTGACAGGAGCAGAGCTGAAAATGTCAGTCTATTCCCTCTGTTGAAATGAATGACAAAAATTGAGGAAAAAGCCGAGCATGAAGCCTGAAGTCATCTGGTGATTTAGACTGTGATGACCATGCTTAGCCTGAGAATACAATAAGAATCCCTTGGCAAATAGGTTATTGTATCTAAAGCTTGATGAATCATAGCTGTAATTTAAATGTCTTTGAAAGGGCATAAACAAACTCATGAAGGGACAAGGCCATCAGTGGCTTCTAGACATATTGGCTATATGTAAGTGTTATTTATTTATTTATTTATTTATTTCTAAAACCATCCTTGAACATTGAATACATTATTCAAGTGTAATTACAACAAGCCTCATCCAGATATGAAAACTCTAAAATATATTATCATGGAAAAGATAAGAAAAAGTAGAGCTGGGTCAGGATGTGGATTATAGAGACAGGGTTCCCTTCGGAGTGCCTACATAGGCATCCCAGGAATTGGCTGGAAGCTGAGTAGTGGCCACAAAGATCCCCTGATTGTGAATCAATCCAATCCAAGAATTTTTTTTCCTACATGTCCAGTAGGATGTACTGATAAGAAGCAGAATGTCGATGAGAATTGGTGCAGGACAAATTTTTGAACTGATGCCAAAACATTTTCTATCTTATCTCCAATTGCACCTGCATGGGGGTTGTGTTCTGTAGGTTAGGCCAACAATGATATACCTTACATTTGATGTTAGAGTCAAAATACCTCTGAATACTATTCACTTGGGAAAAGAAGAGGATGACTTTAATTGCACACATGCCTTGCTGGTAGGCAGCCAGTGGCACCTGAGTGGTAATATGAAGAACACAATATTGGGCTGCATTTTGGTCTGTCCTGGTGTCGCTCTTCCTATATTTTTTGTTTTGTTTATAAAATGAATGTGTACAAAACATTGCAAAGTTCATCCCGGAACTGTACCAATCAGGGATGAGAAAGACTGTTATGTCCTATTGGGGTCTACATGATTCATATTTCAGAAGCTCTTGGAACAGCTTGAACTCCTGGACCTTGCAAAATGAACATATTTTGTCTCAGAACTGTCTTCTTGACCTGCAGAACTTTGATCATTTCCCTCAGAGTAGATGGCTTCATCTCATGCTTGCCAATCAATTGCTCAACCATAGAAGCCACTCTTAGGACAGCAAAGCATGAACAGGGCCCGAAAATTGGACCACTTATTCCCTCAAGTTCTTTAGTTTTCCTTCTTTGGTAATGGGTAAGAGGTTGAGGCAAAACCTCTCATAAGCCACCCAGCTGGCCATGCTAATATAAGCCATTCATATTTCTTTTTGTGTTT